TCTATGGCTGGGAACAGACCCAGTTGGGGAGCAAAGGGGACAACCCTAGCTGGGCTGAGGTTCCCACCAAGAGGCACATGGCCTAGAAGGGGAGCTGCGTTCTGATCTGGAAACAGTTGTAGTCTCCCTTGGCACAAGTGTGGACTGGGATTGGATGCACCGAACCGGGCCGGACCCCGACTCCCCCTGGTGTTCTGGAGGACCAGGGCAGATGTGGGATGGACTAGGCAGGGTCTCAAACCCCTACTGAGCCATGTGTGAGCCATATGTGGGTATAGACAAACCATGGCTGGGCTGGAACATCCAACAGCAAGAACCAGATTGGGTGGAAGGCCAGTCAGGAAAAGCCACAGTTCCTGTTATTACAGGAGGTGGACTGAGTAAGGTTGGCTCATGGACCCACTGGTAAGCGTGAAACCTGGCATTGGGAGAGGTTCTGATGGAGGAGCCTGGGCAACTCCTCTGGCAGGACACAGACCCGGCAGGTAAACGCAAGAAACATGATAGGAAACAGCCCAGAAAAGGCCATGGAAAGCTACCCACTGGCATACAATTGGCTGACGTGGGGGCAAGACCAGGCTGAATCTGTCCACATCATCCACTGGCAAATCCAGGCACCAGTGTGGGTCGACCTAGGGTTGGTCGCAACAAAGACTAGTGCACATTATGGAATGCTGAGGTGAGGTGGCCTGTACCAGAAGGGACCGCAGCGCCCTACCAGCCTGAGAACAAGAAAGGAAGTGGGCAGAGCCGGCAGGGGAATAAGGGAGGGTTCCTTTGCAGGACAGCTACTTCCGCAGGAGAGCATGGGCTGGGATGGGGGCAGACCAGACTAGGCAGAGCTACCACACCTGTGGGCTTCGTGCGGACCAGATCAGGGAAAAGCCGGGCTGGGTGGATTATTCCTACTGGTGCAAACAAAATTAAAGTGGGCGAGGGTTGTTTGGGCTTAGATGCAGCATCAACTGGAATCTGGGAGTGGGAGAGGCCTGGGAGGGAAATAGTGGGCTCATCCCTCTTGGGTTACCACTTCCACAGGACATAAAACTAAGATAACTAAGATAGCGGCTGGGGTGGAATGGGGTGTGGGACAGACTGGATTACTGCTACACTTACTGGCAAACCAGGGTAGGGGGTGGGCCTGGTGGGGGTTATTGTGGGTCGCTCCAACTAGGCTGCAGCTCCCGCTGGTTTATGTGAGGGCCAAGTATGTGCTGGGCAGAACTAGGCTGGACTGCAACACCCATTGGTTCCAGTGGAAGTCGGGAGTGAAAACAGAACCAACCCAGCAACTGCAACCACCAGCTGATTGGAGCGATGGACGGTGCCAGGCCCTGTACTTGTTAGCACATACAAGAAGTTTCTTTGGAGATCTTCCTAATCTAAATGCTGGACTCAAAACCCTAACGAAGAAAAGAGAAGACAGAACGGGTCAACCAACCATCTCAGCTATGATGGACTATGTCAATCAGTGGATTTTTCAAAGCCCTCATAGTGCTTGGAGTGGCAAGATTGACAACGATTCATAACTGTTGCAATATCAAAACCACTTGAGCAAGAACCTCAGCGCATGCCCTACATCCGGGATCTGGGGAGGGTGGGAAAATGGGTGGGCCTTCTCCCTTAAATAACCCCCTTTAAACATGAAGGTAACAATATGGAAAACATACTAGTATTATCCACTTTCATGTAGCCCTTGAACCTTCTTACCCTAATTAACTATGTAAAGAATGTCAAAATAAAATTTTATAAAAATTAAAAAAAAAAAAAATAAATAAATAAATAAATAAAGATGGAAAAAAAAAATAAAACTTCTACTCTCTGTTATTTCTCCTACTATCACTAATAACATTCTAACAGAGTTATACAAGAAGCTATCAAAAGAGTATAAACACAAACCTTGATAAATTATATTTGTTGACATACTGTTTTTCTTTTGTTTGCCTATACTCTTCTAGATATGTCAAAACATTATGTATATGCTAATAGCACATAAACTATTAAAAACACTCAAGCTAAACAGTTTCTGATGACATGAGAAAGCAAAGTTAATGAAAAGAGATTTCACAAAATCCTGTCTATGACACACATATAGGAATTAACAATTTTTTTTTTAAAGATTTATTGTTATTGGAAAGTCAGATACACAGAGAGGAAGATCTTCCATCCACTGATTCACTTCTCAAGCGGCCACCACAGCCAGCCGGAGCGGGTGCAGGGTCCCAATGCTTTGGGCCGTCCTCCACTGCTTTCCCAGGCACCACGCAGAGAGCTGGATGGGAAGTGGGCAGCTGGGGCACGAATCGGTGCCCATATGGGATCCCAGGGTGTTTAAGGTGAAGACTTTGGCCACTAAGCTACCACATTTGGTCCAGAATTCACAATTTTAATATAAACTAAACCTTTTCCTAAATTCAATATATATAAAGATGCCAATATCTCAAAATGTAGCAAGTTCAGCACTCTGTGTTCAGGAATAAAGGTGGAAAAGCTTCATATAGGTGATATTTTTATTGGACAATAACAATTCTCATCACACCAAAAAGACTTGAATTATTTTTTTGCAAAATATATAATTTTGTCCTACTTCATTCTTTGGGGGCATTGAAGGAAGTTGGGGGCATTGAGGAAGCATGGGGATGCTGATGTGACACAGCAAGTTAAACCTCTGAATGCACTGTTGATATCACATATTGAAGACACTGGTTTGATTCCTGGTTTTTCTGCATCCAATCTGGCTTTCTGCTAAACACATCTAGAAAGGCAGAACACTGAACGAATACCCAGGTCTCTGTTGATTATGTGGGAGACTAGAAGAGAGTCACCGGCTCCTAGCTTCCGCTGTACCCAAATCCACCGCTATAAAAATTTGGGGGCCCAGTGCAGTAGCCTAGTGGCTAAAGTCCTTGCCTTGCAAGTTCTGGAAACCCATATGGGTGCTGGTTCTAATTCTGGCTGCTCCACTTCCCCTCCAACTCCCTGCTTGTGGCCTGGGAAAGCAGTCGAGGATGGCCCAAACCTTGAAACCCTGCACCTGTGTGGGAGATACAAAAGAAGTTCCCAGCTCCTGGCTTCAGATCTACTCAGCTCTTGTCATTGCGGCCACTTTGCGAGTGAACCAGCAGAAGATTTTTGTCTCTTCTCACTGTAAATCGGACTTCCAAATAAATAAATAAATAAATCTCTAAAAAAAAATCAAAAAACAATTTTGGGAGTGAACCGACAGATTGAAGATCTTGGTCCTTCTCTCTTTCTTTCTCCTTCAACATACCTTTCAAATAAATAAATAAGTCTTTTCTATTTTAAAGTTGAGTAGGTAATTTTGATTACTCCTTCTTTCAAAGACCTCATTCAAGGGGCCGATACGGCACTGGCATTCCTTGTGGATGCCAGTTTAAGTCCCAACTATTCCACTTCTGATCCAGATCTGCTGATGTGCCTGGGTAGGTAGTAAATGACGGCCCTTGGGCCGCGATCCTCCTGTGGGAGAGCCACAGGAAGCTCCTGGCTCCTGGTTTGGGATGGCCCAGCTCTGGCCGATGATGTTATTTGGGGAGTAAAGCAGCAAATGGAAAATATCTAAGTGTATCTCCCCTTCTCCCTGTAACTCTACCTCTCAAATACATAAATCTTCATATTAAAAAAGATAATTTATATTAAAAACATTTCATTCAAGAAGTCATTTCAAAGCTTTTACTTTGAAATAAGAGAGACTAGAATCACAAGGCTGAGCCAGGTTGAAGCCTGAAACCCACAACTCAGTCTAGGTCTATCATGTGGGCAGCAGGGATCCAAATGAGCCATCACCTGCTTCTTCCCACGGTGTGCAGCAGGGACCTGGATTCGATGCTTAGCAGCCAGGACTCAAACAAGGCTCTCCAATATGGGATATGAGTGGACCAAGTGACAATTTAACTGCTGTGTCACATGTCTTCTTTGTTTAAAACAAGAAACAAAGATAGTGGTAAATACTGACTTTGGAAAAAAAATTGTTAGTTACTTATTTGAAAGGCAGTGACAGAGAAGCAGAGGCACAGAGTGGGATCCTCCCTCCGCTGGTTCATCGCCCACATGGCCACATTAGCCAGGGCTAGGCTGGTCCAAAACCAGAAGTCAAAGAGCTTCTTCTGGGCCTCCCATGTGAGTGCAGAGGCCCAAGTACTTGGACCATTTTTCACTGCTTTCCCAGGCACATCAGTAGGAAACTGGATCCAAAATGGAGCATCCAGGACTCAAAACAGCAACCATATTGGATGCCAGCACAACAGGCAGCAGCTTCACCCACTATGGTACAGTGTCAGCCTTTTATTGACTATTTACATCAAATCCTTCTGCAATAATACTGAGATCTAAAATATATAATTACTTAAAATATTTAAGTGTATGCCACAAAGTACACATACATTTTTTGTTGCATATATTTTTAATTCTTGCAACACTTAACTATACTTTGTGATTTGTGTTTCTTTTTTTTAAATTTCAGCTGGAGAGAGAGAGAGGCAGATTCACTCCCCAAACACCTGCAATGGCCAGGGCTGGGCTGTGCCGGGAATGACCCTGGGAGCCAGGAACACTATCCAGCTCTCACACAAGGGTGGCGGAAATCCAAATGACCTGAACTATCACTGCTCTTCCCCAGGGTCTGCATCAGAAGCAAGCTGCAGTTAGGAGCTGGCGACAGGTGTTGAACCCAGACACTCTATCATGGTACGCAGGTGTCCTAGCTGATGTCCTAGCCCCTAGGCTAAGCATCCACTCTAGATATTGGAACAATGTCACAGTCCTACCTATGGTAAGCAACTAAACTTAGATCCTCAGGACATTAAGTTTACTTGCAAAATAAAACAAACAAACAAAAAAGGAAATACAACAGAACATCTTTTTTTCTTGGCTGTTTTATCAAATGTATTTAACTTATTACTATATGACACTTAGGCAATCTCAAGGATATAAAACAAAGTCATGCATTTCATAAGAAGCATATAAATTATCCATCTTACCAACATCATTCGTGAGGGAACTAGGGTCGGATCCTCCAAGGGTGGCTTCAAACTCCTCTTGGAGACGATACGCTCTTTGCAGCAGAGCTTCAAGTTTATGGATAAAGTCAGTGCTAATAATATCCTACAAGGAGAGCAAACACAGTTCATACGACAACTCTTAGGTCCTAACACTAAAACCCGGCTCATTTTCTACTTCTAAATAACAGGGAGATTGAAGGCCGTAAGAAGCTGGTGTTGGGCTGTGTAGAGTATTACAGGGCAGGAGGCATGAGTTCTTGCTGTGTCTTTGTAAAAAGCAGTTCAGTTCTCAGTGATTCAGTTTCTTTATCTGTGAACTTAAGCAACTGGACTAGCAGCAGACCGAAGTTAGGTCTTTGGACCAGCCAGTATCATTCTCAACAGGAAATTTACAAATACAATTCCTGGAATCACCCTCATCCTACCAATTTAGAAACTGAGACTGCAGACCCTAAGTCTGTGTTTAACAGGCCCTCCAGGGTGATTCTGTTGTCAGCTCAAGTTTGAGAACTGTGAGGACCCATTGTGTTCCAACTCCGCCATGATTCTCAAGATTATAGTGGTAGTTTAAGCACACAACAATGTTAAAAATGTCCTTAAAAATTGTATCTTAGTCTATAAATCCAAAGAAAGCAAGGAAACTTAATACATTGCAGTTCTGACATTTAATTGACTCAACAGAAAAAAATGCAATAAAAAACACTCTAAGAGGGAGGAAACAGTTGAAGTAAACACCACACAGAATGAACATCACACACAAGTTTGTGTCAGCATTCTGGAGCTCACTCGCACACTTACATCCACGCTCTCCTCCGCAATGGCGTCTCCGGCGCCCAGCTTAATGGAACCACAGGCTTCATCCTCCGCCTGTCTGTTGCGAAAGGTGAGAGCTTGCTCCCAGCGACGCAATGCCTCTTCAAACAACTCCATACCTCAAATGAGCAACACAACAGTCATAAACCAGCAATACCAATGCTAAAACAAAACTGCAGAGCGTCTGCAGTAGGCTCACATACCATCAATCCTACCAAAGAATAATTCCACATACATATCTACACATGGTAGAATATTAATTTTCCAATATACTCTGGACCGAGTTTCAGTTAAGCAAAAAATGAGAAGCAAAATTATCAGTATGTTCTCCATGTTTTCATTTCTTAATAAAATGTATCTTAAAGGCCTGGCATGGTGGCCTAGCGGCTAAAGTCCTTGCCTTGCATCGCTGCAATCATCCCATATGGGCGCCAGTTCTAATCCCGGTGCCCCTGCTTTCCATCAGCTTCCTGCTTGTGGCCTGGGAAAGCAGTCGAGGACGGCCCAAAGCCAGGAACTAGGAGCTTCTTTCATGTGTCCCATATAGATGCAGAGTCCCAAAGCTTTGGGATGTCCTCCTCCGTTTTCCCAGGCCACAAGCAGGGAGCTGGAAGGAAAGTAGAACAGCCAGAATATAAACCGGCACCCATACAGGATCCCAGTGCATACAAGGCGAGGACATTAGCCACTAGGCTACTGCACTGGACCCTCCATCACTCTTAAAACAAACAAACAAACAAAAAAGCATCTTTTCCCTAGGCCTCCAAGATGAATGTATGTCAACTGACACCATGTTTCCATCTCAGTATAGATTTTAGACTTCTGGCCTCTAGTAGTTTGAGTGAACAAATTTCTCTGCCTTAAGTCACCAGGTTTGTGGCAACTTCCTATAGCATCCTTAGGAAAATAACACCATACAGACCAGAAACAACAACTTTTAAACTAGAGTTGCTTCTCTTGGAACAATTCACTATATATATATGTGTATATAAATATATATATTGCTTCAAATTCAGTGTGAACACTATCTTAAAACGTTATCATGTTATTCCTACCCATTAAGTACAAGTTCTCGGGAGTGGTCACAGGAATATTTACAAGTTTAATATCATCTTCATCTGGCTTGTCCCAGGAGTTAGAATTGCCACAAGCACAGCTGTGACAAGAATTGACACTCTGGACCTAAAATGAAGATTGACAGAAGTTACTTCAAAATCTCTTGCAAGCGTTTGCTGGGATTCCTTCACATTTATACAATATGTAAACCTGTTCTTAGCAAAGCAATTCCTGTCGCTTCCGAGTGAAGAAATAATTCCAATTATATGCATACTTGAGTCACATGAACCTAAATACTCTGTATTTGTTAAAAAAACACACAAGCAGAGCCAGAACTGTCAACACTAATCAGCATTCACATTAAAACAAATCAAGCAATAATTTTTGTATTGTTTCGCTATTTACCTATAAAGTAGGTAAACTACTTTTCTCTTTGAATATTCTACAACACTAACTGAAATCCTCAAGTGGAAAGTGTCTGTTCTCATTGTCCATATTCATCCCCAGATCGCTCCACTGAGTCAGTCACTTCTCACCTCCATGCAGCTAACTCCCAAACCAACACACTTATTCCTACTTATTTTTTCTTTGTTTCCTTTTTTGGATTTATTTATTTTTATTGGAAAGGCAGATATACAGAGATGAGAGACAGAGAGGAAGATCTTCTCTCTGATGATTCACTCCCCAAGCGGCCGCAACAGCTGGAGCTGAGCCAATCCAAAGCCAGGAGCCAGGAGCTCTTTCGGGTCTCCCACTTGGGTGCAGGGTCCCAAAGCCATCCTCGACTGCTTTCCCAGGCCACAAGCAGGGAGCTGGATGGGAAGCGGAGCCACTGGGATTAGAACTGGTGCCCATATGGGATCCTGGCTCATGCAAGGTGAGGACTTTAACCACTATGCTATTGTACTGGGCCCTGATTCTGACTTCTGAGAAACCAAGACCCACAATTTCATTACCTATTAGGACTGCTAGCATCTCTGACTACATTAAAAAGAAACTCAGTTATCTTAAAAAAAAAAAACAAAAAAACTTCTCCTCCACTGATGTTCACTAATTCACTCCTATTCCCATAATTTCTCAAACCAAAAGAACAGGAAACCATCTTCCAAACATCTTTTCCCATATTTCTCATTCCCAGTTGCTAAACTTATTCTACTTTGTCCCGTCCTTCTCATTCCTATTGTCACGACTATAATTAAGTCACCTATTACCTTTTGCCATAAAGAAAAAATTTAAGCAGAAATCTGGGTTCACAGTCCTGGTGAGGATTCACCAGATTAGCTGAGAAAAGCAGAACTCTTTGTCTGCTTCTAGCCAAGAACAGCTTTAACTTCAGATTGAGCAAACAGAAAACAGAGGCACTTTTCTGACACTGAAGAAGTTTATTTTAGAATACACAGCTTCATAGCTCTGCTCAGTTCCACAGAACTGAGTCTGCAGGTTTTGAAACAAGTGTTCTAACCTGCAAAAGCCTCTACAGATTTCGTCTATTTGGAGATGGCATAGTGGCTCAACAGGTTAATCCTTCACTTGCAAGCACAGGCATCACATATGGGCACTGGCTGATGTCCTGACTGCTCTACTTCCTATCAGTGACCCTGTGACCTGGGAAAGTAGCAGAGAATGGCTCAGGCCCTTGGGCTCCTGCACCCTCATGGGAGACCTGGACGAGGTTCCTGGCTCCTGGTTCTGGGCTTTGGATCAGCTCAACTCTAGGCGATGCAAGTATTTTGGAGAGTGAATTGGTGAATGGAAGATCTTTGTCTCTCCTTGTCTCTGAATCTTCCTTTCAAGTGAAAATAAATAAATCCTTAAAAGGAATTTTTTAAAAAGGAATTTAATCTAAGGCATTACAGAGTGGAACAACTATTTATTCCAATGAACCAGCAAGGTATAGAACATTCTACTGTGTTTCACACACTGTTATAAAAAATAAATATACACGATGGTACAGCTACACACTGCCCAAAAATAAACATAAGAAAATTTAACTGTTTATCTCTAAGGAAAGGAACTGCACTGGTCAGAAATACATTTTTCACATATATTCTTTTGCCTAGACTATATTTAGAAATAAGTGCCTATCCTACCTTATTTTATGTTTTAACTAGATTAGATTTAAACTTAATACTAATTCCATTTCTCTCTTGCCAATAGTATATTAATGCACCAAAGAAAGAGCTGAGGAATTGCATACGTGGCTTCCACAAACCATACACTTCTACCTAAACAGCCTCATCAAGTGATTTTACTAAGCACAAAGCTTGATTTTTCTTTGGTTTATGCAGAAGATCTAATTTTGAAGCAAATCCACATCATTTGCATCCCCACAGGAACCCCTAGACTCATTAGTCAAGAAAACCTACATAGAAAAGGGATACTTTTACTTGCTTAGGGAAAACAGACACAACCAGATAACTTCTTAAGCTTTTTCCCACAAGAGCTATAAATGTATGACATTTAAATAGATAGCAAGAGATACACACAAAACATAAGAAAGCCATTTTTCTTTACTTACAGAGGCCAAACTTTGTACAGAGCCTGAGTATTTACTGAAAGGTCCTCCATTCACATAGTTACAAGACTGAGATCCTTTGTCTTTTGTGGAACTTAAAGACAAGGTCAAATTCTGTCTGCTACTGGAACAACTCGAACCTATCAAACAAACAAATATTTAAGCTTATCAATGATAAAATGCATGTTGAATTTTAAAATTTGTATTACTCATTCAGAAAGCATCTCACTTTAAGTTTAATTGTACAAATTATTCGTTAAAAATATTTATATAATTTTTTTAAAGATGTATTTTTTTTTATTGGAAAAGCAGTTTTACAGAGAAAGAGTTGCAGAGAGAAAGATCTCCCATCCAGTAGTTCACTTCCCAAGTAGCCACAATGGCTGGAGCTGAGCTGACCCGAAGCCAGGAGTCAGGCCACAAGCAGGGAGCAGGATGGGAAGTGGAACAGCTGGGACACAAACTGACACCCATATGGGACCCCAGTGCATGCAAAACAAGGATTTAGCCACTGGGCCACTGAGCCATGCCCTATGTAATATTTTTATAATAGCTAAAAATCTGCTTCTGAAATAAAGAGTACAATGTTCATCCAATTAAACAGTGTATTGCCACTTGCAGATGATATAAACAAGGTCAAACATGAGCATTCAGATTGATCACTTAACATAAGTGCTTCCTTTCCTGAATGGCATCTAAACTTTACCCACATCTCATTACACTGCAACAATTTTTATGTGTCAACTGATTGACACATAAAAACAGGGCACATATATGGGGTACTACATGAATGTTTTGATATGTATGTACATTGTATAATATTCAAGTGACAACATTAAAATTTATTTCTCTACACTGTCTGAAGTACAGCGTACATAATCATAACCTTTAGTCACAAGCATCAAAACTTACTTCTACTTAACTGTAACTAGTGCCTTTTTTTTCCCTGTTTAGTGCCTGTTTTTTCTCCCCTAAGTCTCTACCTTTACCACCTATGAGATAAATCTTAAATGATTTTACATTATCTAAAGACAGTATTTGTCTTTCTCTTGCCTGGCTTATTTCACTTAACGCAATGCCCATGGGTTCAAGCCACACTGTCACAAACCACAAGATATTTCACCTTTTCCTTATAACTGAATATCCCATTGAAAATGTACCACATTGAGTATATGAACCACATTTTTAAAGATTTATTTTATTTTATTTGTATTGGAAAGTCAGATATATTTCATTGGAAAGACAGATACACAGAGAATAGGAGAGGCAGAGAGGAAGATCTTCTGTCTGTTGACTCATTCCCAGAGTGGCCACAACAACTGGAGCTGCGCTGATCCGAAGCCAGGAGCTCGGAGTCTCTTCTGGGTCTTCAACACAGGTACAGGCTCCCAAGGCTTTGGGCCATCCTCAACTGCTTTCCCAGACCACAGTAGGAAGCTGGATGGGAAGCGGGGCTGCCAGGATTAGAACCGGCACCCATATGGCATCCTGGCACATTCACAAGGTGAGGACTTTAGCCACTAGGCTACTGCTCCAAGCCCTGTGTACCACATTTTTTACCCATTCATCAGGTGATGGAATCTTAGATTGTTTTCACTTCTTGGATACTGTGAATGATGCTGTACTGCAACAAACATGGGAGGTCGACATCTCTTTTAACATACTTATTTCATTTCCTTTGATTAGATACCCCAGAGTGAGATTGCTGGATCACATGTTGGTACTATTTCTAATTTTTTTAGGAAACTTCACGTTGTTCCTCACAATAGCTGTACTAATTTAAATTCCTACCAATTTCCTTCATGCACGCCTTTATTAAGCAATAGACAAGAAAGCTGTCTCTGTTTATTGTGTATCTTTTTACACTTTTCATACTGCTACATCTGATATCTTGAAAAACACATGGACAGAAAACATCTTGGTAAAATCTAACCAGTACCAATAAATAATTCCTACCAACAGGAATTAAAATCTTAATTTTCTCTCAATTATTGTCAGCATTTGTTACTTTTGTCCTTTACACAACTGCTATTCTAACTGGAGAAAGATGTTGTCTTCTACTGGTTTTTTTTTTTCCTTATTTTATTTTTGATGTTTACATAGTTGATCAGGGTGGGAAGGGTCAAGGATCATGAGAAAGCGAATAAGACCACTGTTCACACATTTGCTTTTTCTTCTTCCTTCAAGGGGAGAGACCACGCCCAGCCTTCCCAGTACCCAGTGTCATCCCATGGTCCCTGTTGTGGAGCCTGTTCTGAGGATTCTGCTCAGGTGATTTTGATAGTTCTCAGATGCTGTTGATATTGCCGTTCCAAGCATGAGGAAATTCTTCCAAGGTCCATTGGCTGAGATAGTCCACCTCAGAGTCTCCATTTGTCCAGAAGTTTGCTGTCAAGCTTCACTGGGAGAGTTGATCAATTTGTTCTGCCCTCCTTCCTCTATAAACGAGTGGGTGCTGTGGCCCAGACCAACCCTGCCCACCACAGGCTGAGTCCTCATGTACACCAGAGGGGAACCAACGCCCACCCAGTCGGAACAACTCCCAGCAACCCCCACTGGAGCAGTCCCTACCTAGCTCTGTTCCTGTGCCTGCCAGCATGTGCAGTGGACTGGTTCACTTTGTCCCACATCCCATTCAGCTGTCGTACACATCATTGGTCAATGAAGTCTAACTCATCCCAACCTGATATCTCCTACTTCTAATTTGTCTTCACTTAATGATTATGTGATGTTGCGTATCTTTTCATATACCTGCTAGATGTATCTTTATGTCTTCAGAGAAATGTCTATTGATGGGTTTTACAATTTTTGAGTCAGCTTTTTAAAAAGCAAAATGTTTGAATTCAATATATATCATGCCTTGTCAGTAGTACAGTTTAAAAACGCTTTCTCAGGCCCAGCGCAGTGGCCTAGCAGCTCAAATCCTCACCTTGAAGGTGCCAGGATCACAGGTGGGCACTGGTTCTGATCTCGGTGGCCAGACTTCCCATCCAGCTCCCTGCCTGTGGTCTGGGAAAGCAGTCGAGGACAGCCCAAAGCCTTGGGACCCTGCACCCACATGGGAGACCCGGAAGAGCTCCTGGCTCCTGCTTCGAATTGGTGCAACTCCAGCCATTGCAGTCACTTGGGGAGTGAATCATCAGATAGAAGATATTCCTCTCTGTCTTTTCTCCTCTCTATATATCTGACTTAGTAATAAAAATAAATAAATCTCTTAAAAAATGTTTTTCTCCCATCCTACAGGTTGTATCATTCTTTTGTTGTTTTCTTTGCTGTACAAAGCTTTTTAGTTTGTTACAACCCCATTTGTCCAATTTGCTTTTGTTTCTGCAGCTTTCGAGGTTTTTATTCAAAAAACATGTCACCATTTCAATGTACTAAAGCATTTTTTGTGCTTTCTTCCAGTACTTTAAGTTTTTACATTTAATTCTCTAATCCATTTTGAATTGATATTTGTATATAATGAAACACAGAATCTAGTATCATTCTTCTGCAGGTGAATATTCAAATTTCCCAGCATAATTTATTGAGGAGACTGCCTTACCCACTGTATGGTCAACACAAATTTGGCAGCAGATATGTGACTTCACTTCTAGGTTCTTTATTCTTTTCCATTGTATATGTTGCTGAGCTTATGCCAAAGCCATGCTATATTTTAATGAGATTTTAAAGATTTAATTATTTATCTGAAAGTTACAGAGAGGAACAAAGAGAAATAGAGAGGGGAGAGATATTTTCCATTCACTAGCTCATTCCCCAAGCGTCCACAATGGCCAAAGCTGGGCAGGTCCAAAGGGCTTCCTCAGGGTCTTCCACATGGGTGCAAGGGCAAAAGGCTTTGGGCCATCTTCTATACTTTCCCAACCTATCAGCAGGGAGCTGGATTAGATATGAAACAGCCAGGACATGAACCAGCACCCAACAGGATGTCGGTGCCTGCAGACAGAAGGAGATGAGATAAAGCAGTTTAGAGGGAGAAACCAAAGAGCATGTATGGATCAGGGCAAGACATGCACCCACCCACTTGGGAGATCTGGGCTGGCTAAATAGCACTGTCTGATGCCCATCGGCATATGCAAAAGATGTGCTGGGGGAAATGCCTGGCTGGGCTAAGCCACAGTACCTCCCTGCAAGTGTCAGAGCAAATGGTAGACCATATCAGGCTGGGCCACAACACCTACCAGAATGTGAGAGAACCAGATCTGGGGGCATATTTTGTAGGGGAGTTGTGGGGGTTGTCTCTGTGGGACTGCAGCACCCACTTGTGCTACAGAGAGCTGGGGATGGTGACAAGCTGAGCTAGGCTAGAACACAGAACTGACCTGACAGGAACTCACCTGACACTGACAGGAGCTGGGGCTGGGAGGAGGCTGGGTGAAGCCAGGATGCAGCACTCACTGGCAAATGCAAAGGCCAGTAATGAGAGCAGACCATGGCACCTGCTGGCACACAGGAGATCTAGGGTAGGGATTAGGCCTGAGAGGGAAACTTGAGGAACTCTCCTGGTATGGCACAGCTCCCCCTTAGGGGCACAAGAGCAAGCGCTGGGGGCAGGCCAGGCCAGGCCAGTTCGGTCTACAGCAGTTCTCTGTATTTCTGTGGGCCAGGTCTATCACAAGGCAGGCTGACCCAGGCCACACACCTGTTGGCATTCATGAGAGCCAGGACAGGGTGTGGGCTGTGCCTGGCTAAGGTAGGATCCAATACCCATCAGCAAGAGCTGAGACTGCGGGCAGACCACTGCCAGGCTGAGCTGAAGCACCTGCCAGCATACACAAGACCCGGGGCTGGAAAAGGGTCTGATTGGGGAACTCTGGGGACTTCCCTGCTGGGCTGCAGCACCATTGGTGAGTGTAAGAACTGGGGCTGTGGGCAAACCAGGTTGGGCAAGCACCTGTCAACATGAGTATGTGTTGGATCTGGGGATGCTCATAAGCGCCAGAATGGGTGTGGGCCAGGCCAGGCCAGAGCACCTGCAAGGTCACAAAGGAGCCAAGCCTGAGGGTGGCCAGGTTGGGCTAGGCTGTAGCCCCATCAGTGAGAGCCAGAATGGATGTCTGTTGTGGGCTAAGGAGTTGATTAGCGCTCATTGGCCTGGGCAGGAATAGGAACTGGGTTTGTGCCTAAAAACACCTAGACT